ACCGTCCTCACCGTGCTCTCCCAGATTTGAGGACGCGCGTGCCCAGCGTGGCTGTGACTTCTCCCGTTGGCTCTCCGGAAGCCCTGCCTTCGCTTCCCGTTCGTTCTCGTTTACTCTTTCTTGCTGCCCTCCTCATGCGTAACAGCTAAACGTCAGGGGCCCAAACAAGGAACGCAGGAAAACAAAACAACACACCTCGTTTCTGGTAGAGCGTCTATTCCGCTTTTGTGGAAATCAGCTGGCGCTCTCAGAAACGTGTGGATGGACGCCTGATGTAGACACACGCATTCCTTACAGGGTGTGTCAGTGTCCTGGGGCCGCCGTAACACGTTACCCCAAACTAGGGGGCTTAAACCCCCGGGATCCGTCCTCCCCCGTCCTGGAGCCCAGAGTCTGAGGTCAAGGGTCGCAGGGCCACGCTCCCTCCGGAGGCTCCAGGGGAGGGTCCCTCCTGCCTCTTCCGGCGTCCGGGACTCCAGGGTCCCTGGGCTGGTGGCCGCCTCCCTCCCGTCTCTGCCTCCGTCCTCACGGGGCCCGTCTGCATCTGCGTCCAAAATTCCCTCTTCTCGTGAGGACACCAGTGACTGGATTTAAGGCACGCCCTAGCCCTGCGCAACCTCACCTCATCCGAGTGCATCTTCCAGAGAAGCCCACGGGCCCCGGTCCAGGGTGCACGCCTCTGCTCGGGGGGCCAAGTTCAACTGGCTACACCCAACGCCCGGGCCCGAATCGGGATGGCCGTCACATCTCCAGACTCTCGATCTGGACACGTGGGGTCACAGCCTTTTCCCCCCGGCCGCCACGTCCGTCCTCAAGACATCGTCCTATTCGGGTGACAAACGGCAGCCTTGTGGAGGATGCTGGCTCGCATCGCCGTTCCCTCTGACAATTCTCTTTGGTTTGTGACGAGCGCACACACACAACCCTCCAACTTATGACGCCCCAGATGCATTCTGCATTCGGCCCCCCCCCCGCAGGGTCCCCAGAGAATTGACCGCTTCAGCAAGAAAGGAGTCCCAAGGTATCCCCTTTCCGTGGCCGCTTGGCGGTCAAGCCCTGGGGCCCTCAGCTGGAAATTCAGCCTCGACCCCTTTTTGCAGGGTCCTCACAGCCCAGAGACTCTGTCTGGCCACAGACTCTCTGCACAGCTCTTCCTTTAGAGACGTCACGGTGGGATGCGGTGCAGAGGATTTCCCGCTCCTCAGGCAAAGCATTCAAGCTCAACGGACTTTGCAAAGCACTTCTTGCCGTGGGAGGCGAGGAGGGGGCCGGCTCTTTGCAACAGGACGAGTGGGCTGTTGCCATCTGGAGCCAGCCCTGGTCACGGCGAGCTGCATGCCTCTGAAGCCGGCAGAGAGGACCTTGCATTTCTCTCTCGGGGTCCAGAAAGCGCCGGGTGGGGGGCATGGGGAGTGAGCGGGTGCCGTTCTTCAAATGCTTGAGCCGCCAACGACTTGCTTTCCTCGTAGACAGCTGGTGTGCAGAGGGGTTGTTTGCGGGGACTGTCCCCCGTCCCGCTGCTCATTCCTCGGGAGCCTGAGGATGCAAATTGGAGGGTCCGTGTCTGACCTCGTTCTGGATGACCGGGGCCGCGGGGGCATCCCTGAGTCTTAACCCGACTCCTGTGGGGCAGGAGGGGGTTCTTGGCCATCAATCATTTTCAGGAATACAAAAAGGATGGGAGGGTCCTCGCCCTTCCCTCTTTTCCAGGAGCACTAAGGACTGAATATTTGAGGCCCCCAAATCCACCTTTGACCCCCAGTGGGGTGGCATTAGGAGCGGGGCTCCCTGTGGGAGATGATTGGCGGTTCGATGAGGTCAGGAGGGGTGGGCCCCCCGTGACGGGGATGAATCAACTCCCCGAGACAGACCTGATTCAAAGGAAATTCTTCCAAAGGGCGTCTCGTCTGCTCACGTCTTCTTTCTGCACCAGGCGGTGGTTGTAAGGGTTTCGCACAACCACGGCGTCCGTTGCCTACAGTTCCGACGGAGGCATCACAACCTTCAGACAAAATTCATTTTGCTCTTTCTGCCCCCGCCCTTACGCACCGGCTCTCGGAATGCAACGCTGGCTTGGATCCTTCGGGAGCCGCCGAAGCCAAAGGCTAATAAATTCATGCAAAAGGGGAGCATTTTTCGCTCGGGAGGTGAACAAGGGCTCTCAGAAGGGGTGGTGGGTGGGCCTCGACGGAGGAAAATCAGACCCCACAAAAGCAAAAGGTCGAGTGCTTTCCCGGGGTTTTAGTTTCTGTGGAAGGCGAGTGTGCTTGTCAAAGTATTCTTAAACGGGAAATACACGCAAGAGTTTGATGGACACGAATGATCTTCTGGGTTTCGTAGCAACTATTTGAGTTTCAAGAGGCCTTTAAAATTTTTTATGATGAATATTTTCATATTCATTTATTTCATATATATTTCATGTGTGTAAAATAGAGCGAGAAGGGCTGGCCCGGTGGTGCAGTGATTAAGTTCCCACGCTCCACTTCGGCGGCCCAGGGTTCGAGGGTTCGGATCCCGGTGTGGACCAACACACGGCTCATCAAGCCATGCTTTGGCGGCATCCCACATACAAAATAGAGGAAGATGGGCACAGATGTTAGTTCAGCGGCACTCTTCCTCGGCAAAAAAAAAAAAAAAAAAAAAAAAATCCCCACCATGGAGAGAATGATATAAAGATCCTTGTAGACCTGCCGTGTAGTTTTATCACATCTCAACATTTTGCTAAATTAGTCTCAGGTTGTGTGTTTGCATGTGTGAAATAACACATTTCCGATGCGATGCCCTCCTGTGTGTCCTCTCCAGTGATTGCGTGAGTACGTGAAAAAGTGACGATATATCTCAGGTCAGTGGGAGAAATTTGAAATCTGGTCTTGCATGGTTTACCTGTTCTTTATCTTCCGTTCATTCGCAGGCTGGAGGAGGAAGATGTATTTTTCCCCGTCCTTATTTTCAGTTCCCAAATGATGCTTCCGTTTAAAACTAATTATCGAAGGAAACAGCATCTCTCTCTCTCTTTCTGCCGAAGGAAGTCGTGCTGTGCAAGCCGGCGTCGTGGCGTTAGCAGTTTCTGGTCCTCTCTGAGGCCGGCTCTGCCTTTCCCCAATGGGGTGCCTCTCTCTGAAGCCGGGGTGGGGTCTCGGTGCTTGTAAAACGGCCTCATTCAGACCAGGAATGGGTCCCGGGCATCTTCACCAAACCTCAGAGTTGGCCGTCCGGGGGGCCGAGTTTGACTCTGTGCTCACTCACACTTCACAGAGCCGTACGCTCTATTGAGAACATTGGAAATAAAAATGATGCAGAAATGCAACGGCAGGGAATTATCTTAGCCATTTTTTATTTATTTATTTTTATTTTTTGAGGAAGATTGGCCCTGAGCTAACTGCTGCCAATCCTTCTCATTTTTTTTTTTTTTTTTTTTTTGCGGGTGGTGGGCCAGGCCCCTCTTCTTGGGTCACGAGGATCCACCCACTTTCCTCCCCATGATGTGGCCACCTGGAACCGTCTACAGTTCTGGGAGCTCCCGATTTCCCGGATTAAGGATCGTGCCTGTTGGGATTTGTCCATCTCAACCCATTTTGGGGGACAATCCCAGGTCTATCCTCAGAGCTGGGTGGCCCCGGGGGTTTGCTAAAGGTTGGAGGTCGGAAGGTACCATATTCCAGGTGTGTTATGGGGACAAGCTCTTAGGATGAACTCTTTGAACGTATAGGAAGGAAGGAAAAATTGAGGAAAGGAGGATTAAAAAAAACCCCGAAAACTCAGCATGTTGACAGTGCATAGTCTTACGAAAGGTCTACCATCTTTCTCCTGGGATCCTGTTTCTCTTTCTTCTTTCCACACACGGGCAAAGGACCCGTCCCGAATGCTAATAGACCAATCCATCTTAACAGAACAGAATAAGCAAATTTCATTGGTAATGATTCCAGATATTGCAACTTAGCCATTACAAAATGGCCACTTGTTGGGTTTTGGGGATAATGTCAAAGATAATCCCTAATTATCTGAAAAAAAAAAAAATATCCAAATACTGGTCCGTTTTCTGGCTCCACATCTGCACGAGGCTGGATAGCCTTCGACGGAAACAACACGTTGCGACAGACGGAAGGCAGAAGTCGGCGGGAGACCCCGGCTGTCTTCTCGGAGGCCCCACATTTGCAAAAACATGAGACATTTTTTCAGCGTCTTCACTGTCTTTCAATGTCTTCAAGAACCTTCCAGTTGACACCCAGGAACTAGAGGCCATGACTTCAACCTTTGACCTCCAAGGAGGCAGCTGGGTTCTCCTGTCCGCTCTGCAGCCCACCTCTTGCAATGGGCTCAGAGTCTTCGTTCTGGACAAACCCAGTCCCAGCGGGGTCTCCCCATTGACCTCTACACCTGAGCTCCTGCACCGGCAACAAAGCCCGTCGCCCGCCCTGCCCGGAGTCTCTGCATTAGAGGTGGTGCGGGCAAGGCAGCTGGTGCCCTGGAAGGTGCCCAGAGAACGCTCCTGATTAGCATGGCGGGAAGATGCTGGGGTCTCTCGGAGCCGCCATCTCCGTGAGCCGCCATATGCAAAAGGTCTTATTTACACCTGTGGCCATTTTATGTGGCTTTATCCACGGAGGGAGGGGTTCTGTGGTGGTTGGAGATGGCCCTCCAAGGAGGTGTGGCTCGCTGGAGGGGCCCAGAATGTTCTGGAAGAAATAGCTCCACGGAAGACCCCTGGAGGGAGAAGATGGCCGGGTAGAGGGAAGCGCTGGATCCTACGTCACTGGTCCAGAACTGTTGGTTGGGTGTTAAGAAATAACAACGTGGGGGCCGGCCTGGTGGCACAGCAGTTAAGCATGCACGTTCCGCTTTGGCAGCCCGGGGTTCGCCAGTTCAGATCCCGGGTGTGGACATGGCCCCGCTTGGCACGCCATGCTGTGGTAGGCGTCCCACATAGAAAGTAGAGGAAGATGGGCATGGATGTTAGCTCAGGGCCAGTCTTCCTCAGCAAAAAAAAAAGAGGAGGATTGGCAACAGATGTTAGCTCAGGGCTAATCTTCCTCAAAAAAAAAGAAAGAAAGAAAGAACAACGTGGGTGCACATTACAGTCATGCACGGGCATGGAACTTGTTTCACTGGAAGCGTCTGTGATGGGCGCCCGTGAAGGGCTGTGTTGTGTGTGCGTTTCACAGGGAGAAGCTGAGTTCAGCGTACGGGACGTGCATGAAATAGTCGTTTTATTCTCCTTCTTTTCGTGAACCCGTTCTGCGTGGCTCCCCAGAGCGGTGGCGGGCTTCCTGCTCCTGGATGCAATGTGAGTTTTTCTGGAGGGTTAGCTTGGAGATTGACCAGCTGTGAGGTTCGTCCTCCAGCCAACTCCAGGTCCTTCTCTTCTGATTTCCAAGAGATTTCCGTGACGGCGTAGCGGGAAGACGTGCATCTGGGTCGTCATCCTGGGAGCACTCCAGCCTGTGAAGGGCTCTCCCATTTGGTGCGATATCACGGCAGAAAACAAACACACCCCACGTTGGTGTAAGTGGCATATTTTTTTTTTTTTTAAGAAGGCAAAACCATGAACCAAAAAAAATCCAGGGAGGGAGAGAGGTGGCGGCGTTTTGCATTTTCTTTTCTTTTTTTTTTTTTTTTGCAAACGTCTTACATTTTTGCAAATGTGGGGTTTCCGAGAAGACAGCCGGATCCTCCCGTCGGCTTTTGCATTCAATCTGTTGTTTCTGTTGAAGAAGATCCAACCTCGCGAAGATATTTAGCTGGAAAAAAGAGGAGGGTGTTGATAGCTTTTTTTTTTTTCAGATAATTGTGGATGATCTTTGACCCCATCCCAAAAGCCAACCAGGGGTCATTTCCTAATGGCTAAGTCGCGATGTGGAATCTGGAGTCAAAATCCGTGAAATATTCTTGTTGTGTGCAATGAACATTGATTGGTGGATATATCATCTGGAAAAGACCGTGAGCTCGTGGGTCCTTTGGAAACTACGGGCTCCCCGAGTCATGGAGGTCTTCCAAACGTTGACACATTTCATTCTCCAACATCCTGGAAAAAAACATAAAAAAAAAAAAAAATCACATTTGTTGGTCTAACCGCTGACCTCATCAGAAGAGCCTTCAAGCCTTGGGAAGCTCTCCAGCTCCCGGTGGCAGATACGAGTTTTCCCAAAAACCCTAGTTTTCTCTCGAAAACCTTGCCGCTTAGCCAGCCAGCCGGCGTGCACAGATGCATCATTTTGGCTTCCCCCCCCCCCCCCCGTCGTGTCCCGCAGGGCATTGAAAAATGCGGCTCCTTCAAGGTCAGACAATAATTCAGTTAATTCCTATTGGCTTCCTCGGGGGCGTTTTTAGGTGAAACACGCATTGTGTTTGCTGTCGGGGGCCCAGTGGTGACGCACGCAATATGCATGCTAATGCAACCATCCTTTGCCCCGTGACCCTTCTGCACCGTTCGTGCAGATACCGACGCCGTGCAGAGGGTGCAAACGCTTTTAGGAGGAGGACGTGAATCATTTTGACCTCGTGGCCCCCCCCCCCAAGAGGTGCAGCCCTACTTTGAGGAGGCTGATCTGAGGAGGGGTGAGTTTTGGTTCAACCTCCCCGACACCCATCATGGCGGACAAGCTTTAGAAGGACGGCGCCCTCTGCAGGCCCTAGGAGGGGACCCTCCCTGGAAGGACCCGCCCTTGGGGACTGCTTAGGACACCTTCCGACCGTCTTTCTGTCCTTCCTCTCCCCCAGGCGTTTTGGCTTTTTCGTTTGGTGTCTCCTTCCGTTGGGTAGGTCCCACGATGCTTTGCCTCTCGCCGTCTCACGACTGGATGCGCTGAGAGATGTTTCGTCCATCCTGTCCCGCGCCGTCCCCGGGGTACGTCATTAAACTGGAGGATACTGATCCATGGTCACGTCCGAGGTGGATGCATTGCCCTTGGACCCCATGGCTGGAGTTGCCACTCGTGTGTTGCAATTGGGAAGCCCACTCTTTTTCGTCTCCTCTCCCTTTCTAGATCCATCTTGTCAGACTAAACGCATGGAGGTGCTCGATTTCGATAATCTTCTGCTCCTCCGACTGGGGTTGAGTACCTCATGCTTCAAAGAAAACCCCAATTCGTAAAAGCCACAGGGTAATCTTGAGTGTAAGAACGTGGAAGATGTGGCTCGAAGACCTTGGTCGCCTTCCCTGAAATGTCACCAGGCCATCGGGGACTCCAGAGGGGGCTGTCTGGTTGCCACCCACACTGCCACCCCTCTGCCTGTGCCCGGCCTCCCACCCATCCGCTGGGTCCATGCTTGCTGAATGCTCTCGCGAATCCTGCTCTACGGGTGGAATGGAAGTAGGGGAACTCGTCAACCGTAGCGTTCAGACTCAAGCTGGAGAGTCTTTGCTCTTAATTAAAGTCCCCGATGAAGACCTGGCTCCAGAAGACCCATCCACGGTCACGTACGTCTTGCAGAGGGCAGGCTGTCCTCTCAGCCTTGAGATGCACCTAGGAAACCAGCCCAGACGGTCAACGGATGCCACGGGGCCCTCCAATCCTGCACCACCCCCCGGGTTCCATGGCTGGAGGATGGCGGCACATCCCAACGGGAAGGCGTGGGTGCCAGGCGACCCCGGTGTTGCGTTGTCATCATGCGCGCCGTTCACTGCATGGCCTCCCGGGGCGTGTTTCAGGATGCCGACTGTGGTGGAATTTGTAAAACTGGGTTTCGTTGTGATGCACAGTCCACCCTTGGAGGATGCGGCTGTGAACAGGTCCCTGTGGTCGGGGACGGACGGAGGCTGGGCATGAACGAACCAAGAAAGGAAGTCGCCGGGAGATGCCCGCATCTCACGCAGTTGCTCTCCCGGATTTTTTTTTTTAAAAGATGGAAGAGATTTGTTGCTGAGATGAACGGTGAGCAGTGGCCTCGGCCGTGGGGTGGCCGCTGTGGGACTTGGCAGTTCGAGGCGCCCCCTGAAATCCCCTTTACACGGCATTATGTGGGTAGCATGGGTTATAAATGGCGGGAGCTTTTATGGAGGCAAAAACAATTCAACGGGTTGTCCTGCAGGGTCCACTGAGATTCTGATTCCTCCAGGGCAGGGTTTCTCCGGGTTGACCCTATTGACGAGTCTGGGGAGGATCCAGATGAAAAGGGGGAAAGAGTCTTCAGCACGTGGAAGCCGTGGAGTCGGGGCGCCATGCCCGGGGAACAAAGGAAGGGACAGAACGCAGCTGTGGCTCGGTACCATTCCTGTGGATGCAGAATGGTGCGCAAACTGAAGCGTGCGTGTGGACGGGGACACGTCGGGGAAAGGGGCAGGGGTGACGCACGAGAATGGTGCGTGCGGTCGGGGAGGGAGTGGAGGGCAGAGTGGAATGGGGAGTGGGGTGTCGTGGGACGAAGGAGGGGGGAGGAGATAGAGAGGGAAGGAATGAGGGATGGAGAGGGAAGAGACGAAAGAGAGGGAAGAAGAAAGAGGGGAGGGATGGAAGGAAGGAGGGATGGAGGGACGGAAGGAGAGTGGGAGGGATGGAAGGATGGGAGGATGGATGGATGGATGGATGGATGGATAGATGGATAGATGGATGGATGGATGGATGGATGGATGGATGGATGGATGGATGGATGGATAGATGGATAGATGGATGGATGGATGATTGATAGATGGATGGGTAGATGGATGGATGGATGGATGGATAGATGGATGGATGGATGGATGGATGATAGATGGATAGATAGATAGATGGATGGATGGATGGATAGATGGATGGATGGATAGATGGATGGATGGATGGATGGATAGATGGATGGATGGATAGATAGATGGATGGATAGATGGATGGATAGTTGGATGGATGGATGATGGATGGATAGATGGATGGATGGATAGATGGATGGATGGATGGATAGATGGATGGAAAATGTTCTGGAACTAGATTAATGTGATGTTTGCACAGCATTGGGAATGTACTGTCTCTGTCTCTATAGATTTGCTTATTCTGGACATTTCCTATCAAGGGAATTACATACTGTGTGGCCTTTCGCGTGTGGCTTTTTTTCACTTGACAATTGTTTTCTAGGTTCACCCGCATTGTCACACGTCTCAAGGCATGCATCATTCCTTTTCATGGCTGTATAATATTCCACGGTGTGGCTAGACCACATTTGCATCTCTGCTCCCCGGTTGATAGACATTGGAGTTGTTTCCACTTTCAAGAGTGGACAGCCAGTTGAGAAGGGGTGGAATGTTCCAGAAGGAAGGGTGAGACAGCAACCTTGAGAAAGGATGAGCCATCAGCACCCATTGGGGGGATAGCGTGAGAGGAAACCGAGGCAGAGCTGGGCGTGCACCGTGGCGGGTCTTGGTCACTCGTGCTGGAGAAGCTTCCGGAAGGTCGTCAGCCACACCTGTTTGCAGTGGGATATGTTGATGGCAAGACGTCCCCCCCACAGAGAGAGGAGGGTTTCTGGGAACTTCTTCGGTGTCACGTGGATTCTCTTCCCTTACTCATCCCTCCAGCAAAATGAAGGATAATTCCTAGAAGGTACACAAGTCCCAGAATCCGGGACACCCCCACACTCTCATTTCCGGAGCAGACGTCCTCCTGGCTCCTAACGTCTGCTCTGAGCCGCCTCTGCTCCTTGCTTTTCCACTCACTCGCGTTGGGACCGGGGCCAACTACCCACGTGCCTCAGTTTCCCCATCTGCTGACTCTCAGGGGTGGGCTCTGAGGATCCGAGGGTGGGGGAGCATGGACCTGAAAGGTTCTTCTTACTCCTTCCAAAGTGGCTTTTTTTGCAGAGCAGCCGGCTTCGCTATCCTAGGCTCACGGAGGGATCTCGGGGCCGGTTAGGACCTTTCCGCGGCGGGCGGGCGGAAAACTGGACCCAAAGATGCGGCAAAGAGTCGTTGGCTCCGGAAAACACGACCCTGGATTCCTGGGTATTCGGTTAAAAGGGCCTCTCATCCGCCTGTCCATCAAAAGTCCTCACCCAGCTCCTCTCTGTAGGTCTTGGATCAAAGCTCCGGGCTGTTTAGGGTTGAACCAGGATGGTACCAAGAAGACAGGATGGAGCTGGGGGCGCACCCCTGAGCGAACCTTATCCGGGGCGCGTTGACCGACTTTATGTCCTGCGTCTCCTTCACCCCTCGTCACACTCCCCCGTCATCAAAAATTCAATCTCTAATTCAATGGCGATTTTGAAAGACTTTTCAAGACCCCAATAAACCACGGATGAGGGTCTTTGTAAGACGTTTGCAGGTGGTAGTAGATTCTAGGGTGCGTACAGATCATGAGCTGTGAGGACCATTGTGGGGTTGACCGGCCGTCTTGGAAGAGGGTCTCTGAAAGTGTGTATGGAAAGTGTCCCCGCTTTAAGTGGGGCGTCTTCTCCAACCAAAGCCGACACCCCATCCAGCGTTTCACCAGGATGTGGTTGGTCAACGTAGGAATTGGATTTGATCATATCCCCCGTGACCGCGTGCATTCGTCTCATTGCATGACCCCTTTCGTCTCATTTTTTTTTACGTTTACCTATTTTTTGCAAGGGCCCCAAGATTGTTTCCCCCCCCACCCACTCCAAATGGGCAGTTCTTTTAATGGCCGCTCTTTGCCCCCGAGGGATATGTGGGTTGGTTCTCTTTTCCTCCCTGCTCCGTTGACCTCAGACGTGGCCACACTGCCCTGTGGTTTGGAGGCTCTTCAATTCACTCTTCAGTCCCTCAGGGGAAGGGGGCGTGGGGAGCGGGACCTCTGAGAGGCCACAGTCACCCAGGACCACTGTCTGGGGGCCGCCTGCTCTCTAAGGTTACAGGATGCCTGGCATGGGGGCCAACTGTGGCGGGGTCGCTGCTGCTGTGGGACGGGTACGTGGTACGAGGCCAGGGTGGGCAGCCATCCAATGATGGGTCAAGGTCAGAGTGGTTAGCCATCCAATGATGAGTCAAGGCCAGAGTGGATATCCATCCAATGATGGGTCAAGGTCAGAGTGGATATCCATCCAATGATGGGTCAAGGTCATAGTGGACAGCCATCCAATGATGGGTCAAGGTCAGAGTGGACAGCCATCC